TTTTTTTTTTCTTTTTTTTCCCCGGCAGATTCCGACTGCACTCTTCAAGAGCTGTCGGAATCCGCAAGGTTATTATTGACATATTCAGGCAACTATGGCTTCCACGGGGAGGGGTCAAGTAAGCAAGTTCACTTATCCAAACCCCCCATGGCTGGAGCACTTCGTGGAGTGTGTCATTTGATATTGATACCCCACGAGCTGAACCAGATACAATGAGAGGAGGTCCTTGCCAGAAGTTATAGCTCTTCCAGAGTATAACTCGACAGCAGAAGAGTTATGGTCCCAGCTTTCAGCTTGTGGAGGCAGAGCGTTTTCTGTTTGTTGGTTTCTACATAAGGTGAGTTATCAGTCCGGAAGTATCTTGCCTGGCAGTCTATCCAGATACATGTAGTGGAGCAAGGTCAGAAGAATATAGCTTACGTCCATTCTTGGGCTTGCACCTCGAACGGCTCTGACATCACGATTCCAAAATCCGAACCCATAACTTTTTCCACAGATGTTTCCACAGATGGCAGGGACGTTGCAGAAGGATATAATCTCAGCAGAGCCTCATCAGAAGCGTAGTGTTCCCCTCGTGGCTGAGGGTGAAAGAGCATCAGATGTTGCCAATGGTAACTGGTCCGTTGGACCACAAGATGACAAATTGGAGAAGGGGCCTACCTGACCCACATCTTAAGAAAAATGTGTGGCTGTTCTCCGCTGCTGATCTGCAAAGATCAGTGGCGGATATCCTCTGCCTGTTTTTCTTAAGAAATGGGGTCCTGGCCGATCTTTGCCGCTGATCTGCGATGATCGGTGGCCAAGATTGACCACTTTTTGGCCGTGAAAAATCTGGGCGTACAGGACCTGGTTTCGAAATTGCGGGGCAGGGCCGACCCCCACAAGGCCTCGGGAGTACATACGCGCCGGCAAAAAAAACAATTCAGGCCCCAGCGAAAATGCACTGGGGTAAACCGGGAGAACCGCGGATGGGGTAGGGATCCCCGGTCCATCCGGGGACCAGCCCTGTTGTCTTCCCTTTATCTTTGAAGCTTGAACCATACTTGCGGCACATCTCATGCGCGGGAGCGTGGCACATGCGGCGCAAAGCGCGCACGCATGAGATGCGCCGCAGGTGATGCGGCACATCAAAAAAAAAAAAAAAAAAAAAAAAAAAGAATGTTCAGAGTGGGGTGGCCAAGCACTCCCCTCACTTCTAAAAATTAGAAAACAAGAGGGAGAAAAGCTTGGGCCACGCGTTACCCCGAAACTGTTGGCACTCGTCTATACATGCGAGTATTCATTTCCTAATTGTGTCCAGCCTCTTTTTCGAAGGGCCCTTGTAGCGAATTAGCTAGGACCTTACGTGCAGCAGAGGCGAACTTCAAACTTCCAGTCACGAGCGTGAGCAGAGAATATATACTCTGGATTCAAATTCAGGGATGTGCATCTCGGATTCTCGGTTATGGGTCACTATTTCTTTTGTTTTCCAGTTTTCCTTTTCTCAGGAATACGTGCAGTGGCCCTAAGGCACCAACATACACAAAAGACAAAACATATGGTGGTGTATTATTCCACGTTCTGCGGTAGATTCTTTCTAATTTTGCAAATTTGCTCACTATTTCTTTTCTTTTTTAGTTTTCGTTTTCTTAGGAATACGTGCAGTGGCCCTAAGGGCCTTTACTCACCACATACACAAAAGACAAAACATATGGCAGTGTATTATTCCACATTCTGCGGTAGATTCTTTCTAAGTTTGCAAATTTGCACATTACGTGAGTAGTGCAGCCAAGCCCTGAGAATCACGTGCAGACTCTGCAGACCAACACTGCCTAGCTACGTGAGCAACCCATAACTGCTGAAACAGAGACCTGAACTTCAATCCTGAGGATATATTGGGCCAGCTCGTGCTCTACTTCATATTCACTACCGGCTTCGATTTTGATGTAGGGTCTGCAGTTTAGTGCTGTGAGGACCCTCCGGATTGCCTGCATGGGCTGTTTGAGCCGTGCTAAGGGGATCTGCCCTCTCTCTCTCTCTCTCTCTCTCTCTCTCTCTCTCCGGTGTACACATAC